GTACAGTTAGTGGTTAGAGCAAACAAACACTCTGACAGTCAAGCATACTTGATCATTCGGCCAGCAGCATGTTATATAATAATTCTCAGTTTCACTTATCTGACTTAAAAGGGGGAAAATAATTGGCCTCATTTCACCAAACCTCTCAGCAGCACACCAAACACTGGCCCACTCCCAGCTTGATAAAACATTCTCTATTCCTCATTTTTCCTCACACTACATTCTCCTGGTTTGCCTACCCCCTCTGGCTATTACTCCTCCCTTCCATTTCCAAATGTTACAGTGCATTTTATGGCAGAGGTTGTAAACCAGTGCCCAATCAATGCCAATTCATAGATTTTAAATTTCAATTGTTTTCCACAGTCACAAAAGTATCCTCATTTCTAACTTCTCCTCATCAACTGAAAATCTGGAAATACAGGGTCCACATTTATTGCTAACAGTTAGCTGAAAAGAGGCAGTCCCCTTCATTCATTCTCTTTCTCCCCTGCCTTCCTACCCTCCCTCCCTTTCCAGCTCATACATCATACTAGTTACCAATTATTATCACACAGTGGGCTTTATTTAACCATTATACCCCCAACCTACCGGATTCCTACAAGCATCATGATTCCTGTAACACAGTCTATTTTCTTGTATCTTCATACTCATTCTCATAGCTTTAAATAACATCTATTATTTATTACTATTAAATTTATCCTTTATTATTCTTAAATTCATACATCCAGCCAGAACTCACTTCTGAGTTTTGACTGGAACATCTGTACTTAGATGTTCCATATACAACTCAAATTAATGGTTAGGAACTATACCCTTTATCCACCACTCATTGTTAGTCTATCGTACCACAGTGGCTTGTGTGTTGCACTGATACTGAAAGCTTTATCACTAGTATTCCAAATACCAGCAGAGTCACCGAGAGCGGACAGGTTATAATGGAGCTGCAAGCTGGAGAGATTAGGAACGAGGAAGAGGAGGTCCACTACTAAGACTGGCCACTGAAAAACTTACGAATAGCAGTGAAACACTGTCGGATATAGTGCCAGAAGATGAGCCTCTCAGGTTGGAAGGCACTCAAACTATGACTAGGGAAGAGCGTCCTCCTCAAAAGAGAGTTGACCTGAACGGTGTGGATGGAGTAAAGCTTTCAGAACCTTCATTTGCTGATGTGGCATGACTCAAAATGAGAAGAAACAGCTGCAAACATCCATTAAAATCAGAATGTGGACTATATGAAGTATTAATCTAAGAATACTCTAAGTTGTCAAAAATAAAATGGAAGGCATAAAGATTGATATCCTAGACATTTTTGTTGTTGGTATGCAAGTTCAAGTTGAAGCTGAAGAAAATTAACACAAGTACACAAGAGCCCTGGTGGTGTAGTAGTTAAAACATCTGGCTGCTAACCAAAAGGCCCATGGTTTGAACCCACCAGCCACTGCACAGAAGCAAGACTGGGCAATCAGCTTCAGTAAAGATTTACTGCCTTGGAAACCCAATGAGGGTTGCTATG